TTTTGCGGGTACTATTTAATGAAGCTGCCAGTTGAGGACCTGTGAGGCATCTGTTTCTCAAACTAGACACTCTAATGTATTTGTCCTCTTGCTCAGTTGTGCACCGGGGCCTCCCACTCCTCTTTCTATTCTGGTTAGAGCCAGTTTGCGCTGTTCTGTGAAGGGAGTAGTACACAGCGTTGTACGAGATCTTCAGTTTCTTGGCAATTTCTCGCATTTAATAGCCTTCATTTCTCAGAACAAGAATAGACTGATGAATTTCAGAAGAAAGTTCTTTGTTTCTGGCCATTTTGATTCTGTAATCGAACCCACATTTTCTGATGCTCCAGATACTCAACTAGTCTCAAGAAGGCCAGTTTTATTGCTTCTTTAATCAGCATAACAGTTTTCAGCTGTGCTAACATAATTGCAAAAGGGTTTTCTAATGATCAATTAGGATTAACTTGGATTAACAAACACAACATGCCATTGGAACACAGGACTGATGGTTGCTGATAATGGGCCTCTGTATGCCTACAGTGAGGGGAAAAAAAGTATTTGATCCCCTGCTGATTTTGTACGTTTGCCCACTGACAAAGACATGATCAGTCTATAATTTTAATGGTAGGTTTATTTGAACAGTGAGAGACGGAATAACAACAAAATAATCCAGAAAAAAACGAATGTCAGAAATGTTATAAATTCATTTGCATTTTAATGAGGGAAATAAGTATTTGACCCCTCTGCAAAACATGACTTAGTACTTGGTGGCAAAACCCTTGTTGGCAATCACAGAGGTCAGACGTTTCTTGTAGTTGGCCACCAGGTTTGCACACATCTCAGGAGGGATTTTGTCCCACTCCTCTTTGCAGATCTTCTTCTAGTCATTAAGGTTTCGAGGCTGACGTTTGGCAACTCGAACCTTCAGCTCCCTCCACAGATTTTCTATGGGATTAAGGTCTGGAGACTCCAGGACCTTAATGTGCTTCTTCTTGAGCCACTTCTTTGTTGCCTTGGCCGTGTGTTTTGGGTCATTGTCATGCTAGAATACCCATCCACGACCCATTTTCAATGCCCTGGCTGAGGGAAGGAGGTTCTCACCCAAGATTTGACGGTACATGGCCCCGTCCATCGTCCCTTTGATGCGGTGAAGTTGTCCTGTCCCCTTAGCAGAAAAACACCCCCAAAGCATAATGTTTCCACCTCCATGTTTGACGGTGGGGATGGTGTTCTTGGGGTCATAGGCAGCATTCCTCCTCCTCCAAACACGGCGAGTTGAGTTGATGCCAAAGAGCTCCATTTTGGTCTCATCTGACCACAACACTTTCACCCAGTTCTCCTCTGAATCATTCAGATGTTCATTGGCAAACTTCAGACGGGCCTGTATATGTGCTTTCTTGAGCAGGGGGACCTTGCGGGCGCTGCAGGATTTCAGTCCTTCATGGCGTAGTGTGTTACCAATTGTTTTCTTGGTGACTATGGTCCCAGCTGCCTTGAGATCATTGACAAGATCCTCCCGTGTAGTTCTGGGCTGATTCCTCACCGTTCTCATGATCATTGCAACTCCACGAGGTGAGATCTTGCATGGAGCCCCAGGCCGAGGGAGATTGACAGTTATTTTGTGTTTCTTCCATTTGCGAATAATCGCACCAACTGTTGTCACCTTCTCACCAAGGTGCTTGGCGATGGTCTTGTAGCCCATTCCAGCCTTGTGTAGGTCTACAATCTTGTCCCTGACATCCTTGGAGAGCTCTTTGGTCTTGGCCATGGTGGAGAGTTTGGAATCTGATTGATTGATTGCTTCTGTGGACAGGTGTCTTTTATACCGGTAACAAACTGAGATTAGGAGCACTCCCTTTAAGAGTGTGCTCCTAATCTCAGCTCGTTACCTGTATAAAAGACACCTGGGAGCCAGAAATCTTTCTGATTGAGAGGGGGTCAACTACTTATTTCCCTCATTAAAATGCAACATTTTTGACATGCGTTTTTCTGGATTTTTTTTTGTTATTCTGTCTCTCACTGTTCAAATAAACCTACCATTAAAATTATAGACTGATCATTTCTTTGTCAGTGGGCAAACGTACAAAATCAGCAGGGGATCAAATACTTTTTTCCCTTACTGTATGTAGATATTACATTAAAAATCAGCAGTTTCCAGCTACAATAGCCATTTGCAACATTAACAATGTCTACACTGTATTTCTGATCAATTTGATGTTATTTTATTGGACAAAAAAATTGCTTTTCTTTCGAAAACAAGGACATTTCTAAGTGACCCCAAACTTTTGAACAGTAGTATATAATTTGAACACAGGTCTGTGTATAACATGCCCAACGGCCCTCTCAGAGATCTTTAGTCCCAATAGGGCCTTTATTGCCCTTAACACTACAACATTTAGAGGGAGCACAGTGTACTTAAAATGCAAGTACGGTTGACACACTGAACTGGAACTGCGACAATAAAAAACATCCTATCTATCTTATGGTCGGAGTGATTGGGTTGAACTGCCAAGATCTTCAGACATCTTGGTGACCGTTAAGGTGTTACAACACAGTATCACTGTATTCTTATTCTGACATCTTTGATATACACCGAGTGTACAAAACATTAGGAACACCTGCTCATTCCATGACAGACTGACCAGGTGAAATGTTCTCTTATTGATGTCACTTGTTAAATCCACTTCAATCAGTGTAAATGAAGGGGAGGAGACAGGTTAAATAAGGATTTTTAAGCCTTGAGACAATTGAGACATGGATTGTGTATGTGTGCCATTCAGAGGGTAAATGGGCAAGACTAATTTACAGTGGGGAAAAAAAGTATTTAGTCAGCCACCAATTGTGCAAGTTCTCCCACTTAAAAAGATGAGAGAGGCCTGTAATTTTCATCATAGGTACACGTCAACTATGACAGACAAAATGAGAAAAAAATATCCAGAAAATCACATTGTAGGATTTTTTATGAATTTATTTGCAAATTATGGTGGAAAATAAGTATTTGGTCAATAACAAAAGTTTCTCAATACTTTGTTATATACCCTTTGTTGGCAATGACACAGGTCAAACGTTTTCTGTAAGTCTTCACAAGGTTTTCACACACTGTTGCTGGTATTTTGGCCCATTCTTCCATGCAGATCTCCTCTAGAGCAGTGATGTTTTGGGGCTGTCGCTGGGCAACACAGACTTTCAACTCCCTCCAAAGATTTTCTATGGGGTTGAGATCTGGAGACTGGCTAGGCCACTCCAGGACCTTGAAATGCTTCTTACAAAGCCACTCCTTCATTGCCCGGGCGGTGTGTTTGGGATCATTGTCATGCTGAAAGACCCAGCCATGTTTCATCTTCAATGCCCTTGCTGATGGAAGGAGGTTTTCACTCAAAATCTCACGATACATGGCCCCATTCATTCTTTCCTTTACACGGATCAGTCGTCCTGGTCCCTTTGCAGAAAAACAGCCCCAAAGCATGATGTTTCCACCCCCATGCTTCACAGTAGGTATGGTGTTCTTTGGATGCAACTCAGCATTCTTTGTCCTCCAAACACGACGAGTTGAGTTTTTACCAAAAAGTTATATTTTGGTTTCATCTGACCATATGACATTCTCCCAATCCTCTTCTGGATCATCCAAATGCACTCTAGCAAACTTCAGACGGACCTGGACATGTACTGGCTTAAGCAGGGGGACACTTCTGGCACTGCAGGATTTGAGTCCCTGGCGGCGTAGTGTGTTACTGATGGTAGGCTTTGTTACTTTGGTCCCAGCTCTCTGCAGGTCATTCACTAGGTCCCCCCGTGTGGTTCTGGGATTTTTGCTCACCGTTCTTGTGATCATTTTGACCCCACGGGGTGAGATCTTGCGTGGAGCCCCAGATCGAGGGAGATTATCAGTGATCTTGTATGTCTTCCATTTCCTAATAATTGCTCCCACAGTTGATTTCTTCAAACCAAGCTGCTTACCTATTTCAGATTCAGTCTTCCCAGCCAAGTGCAGGTCTACAATTTTGTTTCTGGTGTCCTTTGACAGCTCTTTGGTCTTGGCCATAGTGGAGTTTGGAGTGTGACTGTTTGAGGTTGTGGACAGGTGTCTTTTATACTGATAACAAGTTCAAACAGGTGCCATTAATATAGGTAACGAGTGGAGGACAGAGGAGCCTCTTAAAGAAGAAGTTACAGGTCTGTGAGAGCCAGAAATCTTGCTTGTTTGTACGTGACCAAATACTTATTTTCCACCATAATTTGCAAATTAATTAATTAAAAATCCTACAATGTGATTTTCGGGGGAAAAAAATTCTCAGTTTGTCTGTCATAGTTGACGTGTACCTATGATGAAAATTACAGGCCTCTCTCATCTTTTTAAGTGGGAGAACTTGCACAATTGGTGGCTGACTAAATACTTTTTTTCCCCACTGTATGTTACAAAACAAGCAAGTATAGTGTAGAGAATAATTGTACCATCTAAACCGCTGTGAAACACTATCTTTTCTATAATAAAAAATATAGTATTTTCAGCTGTTTGAAGCTGATACACAAAACAGAATGTAAAAGATGCAAAAACTGAACTTAAGAACGGAAAGCATAGACATGGCACACATAGAATAGATCTACCGCTTCTTAGACTTGCTTTAAATGAGAATGACAGATCTATAACTAACATTTCTATGTGAATTTGGTCGGGTTGGCCAAAAAGTTACATATTGCAGCTTTAAGTGCCTTTGTACAGTAGATACCAGGCACACCGGTTTGAGTGTGTCAAGAACTGCAACACTGCTAGGTTTTTCACGCTCAACAGTTTCCCGTGTGTATCAACAATGTTCCACCACCTAAAGGACATCCAGCCAACTTGACACAACTGTGGGAAGCAGTGGAGTCAACATTGGCCTGCATCCCTGTGGAACGCTTTCGACACATTGTAAAGTCCATGCCCCGACGAATTGAGGCTGTTCTGAGGGCAAAAGGGGGTGCAACTCAATATTAGGAAGGTGTTCCTAATGTTTTGTACACTCAGTGTATATGTGATTGTGGACTGTGATGTCTCACCCGCTGGGGCAGAGTTTCTTTACGGTCACCCTGAGGGAGGAGAAGTCTGGTCGGTCGCTGGGTCTCTCACTCCAGCACGCCCAAAGCAGAGCCTCCACACCCTCTGGACACTCTGCCCTGTCCGTGTGGGGCCTGAGGGGGCTACCTCCGCCCCCCACGCCCACCCCGGCCCTGACCCTCTCCACTATGTCTGGGGGGGAAGAGAGAGAGAGAGAGAGAGAGAGAGAGAGAGAGAGAGAGAGAGAGAGAGAGAGAGAGAGAGAGTAGTGCGATTCTTTAGTAGTGAGTGTCTGGAGCTAGTACTTGACATTAAGTTAGAGAGAGAGAGAGAGAGAGAGAGATGTGGAGAGCAGAGATGAGAGAGAGGAGAGAGGAGAGATGAAGAGAGTAGGAGAGAGAGAGAGAGAGAGAGAGAGAGAGAGAGAGAGAGAGAGAGAGAGAGATTTGAATAAGACAGTGAGGAGGAGAGAACACAACCCAGAGCAGTAAGGTATGGGGGTCTCTCTCTACATACCTCTTGCCTTGAGGTTGTTGTTGGGGATGTGGAAAGGGCCGCTGCGGTACACCACCTCCTGAACAATAATGCCAAAACTGTAGACATCCCCCTTCTGGGTGCCAGAGGAGGGCATGCTGTCCCTCAGCAGTTCCGGGGCCCTCCACAGTAAGGCTGGGAAGAGAGAGGGGCTTAATGTATGAAAAGCTCATATTGTTAGTTACACTGTTTACCACTGTGTATCTGTCATCTCTTTCTCCCTCTTCTCCTTTCTTCTTTCTCGCCCCTCTCGCTTTTCCCTCCTTTTATATGGTAACTTTACAAAATTCCAAGGTTTTCCAGAAATCCTGGTTGGAAGACTATGGATTTCCTGCTTATTCCCTCCTGATTCAGGGAAACTGGGATTTCTGGAAAACCTGAGAATTTTGGGAAAGTTACCGAAATGTTGCGACCCTACACTTACATGTCCAGTGTTCTTTGGACCAGCCCTTCTCGTCCTGTCCTGGGGGTCTTCTGAGGAGACTGAGGCCATGGTCGGTCACCTTGAGGACGAAGCGACTATCCACCACACAGTTAGATGACGACAGGTGACCATGGGAGCGCAGGGGGCTGCGGTGCAGGTAGTCCATCCCCTAAAGCGAACACACGCGCGCACACACACACACATTTCAGTTTGATAGAACCAATTCCCACACAGACTGGAATTGCACTGATATCAACTTCCACTTCAGTTTTGTCTGCCTTGTATCACTCCCATTGAGACAGTCATATACATTATGTAACTCATAACGCATGAAAAATCTAGAGTTGTGAGAAAATGTACCTTGACAATGTCCAGCATCAGGGAGAACTTGAAGCTCCAGTCAAGCTTAATGGAACCATTCGTCAAAATGTCCTGGAGTTCGGGAGGTGCAATTGGACTTTATTGCTCTTGTGATGTATCGAAGAAGCAGTGAAGAGAGGGTTATGTGCGTTTAAAGCAGTGGTGTGTGTAATGTTGCCTGTCTGTGTGTGTGTGTGTGTGTGTGTGTGTGTGTGGGTTACCCGCAGGCTCCCTTTAGGGCAGTACTCAGTCAGCAGAACGAGCTGTGGAGGTTCCAGACAAGCACCGATGAAGCTGCAGATGTTTGGGTGGCTCAAATCTTTACACTGCACACACGCGCGCATGTGCGAGAGAGAGAGAGAGAGAGAAAGAGAGAGGAGTCCATATAAAACAGATATGATAAAATTATAAACTTACAGCATCAGTATTCATAAACATTACATTAAGCACTCCACTCTCTACTAACACTCGATAACGATAACAGACACAAACACTTCTCTACAGCGAGGAGGGCCTCACCTGTTTCAGTTCAGTGAGCAGCTCTCTGTTCAGACACACACTCTTCACATTCAGCAGTCGCACTGAACAGATGTTCTCCTGAAAGAAACCGGGGGGAACGACAGAGCCAAAATGGCAGACTAAAAATAACCCAAAGCCCCATGACGATAATGATGATGACGGAAAATACATAATGGCACAGCCTGGCTTCTAATCAGCAGGATCATTTCATTAGATGTAATTTCACAGGACCAGGTGTCGAGTTTGGACACCTGCGTATTACGGTAAGAAAGTCTCAAAGTATAGTTATTCCACGTCTGAGGCATGGTGGGGATTGAATATAAATAAGGCCTAGCCCTAGAGTTTGTAGCCAGGAAAAACTCTGGGCCCAAGTTATATTCCCCCTCTCACCTCTCTCTCCCCCTCCAGTCAGGTAAGTTATAGGAAAAACTCAAGGCCCTAAATGCAACATTGTAAAGGTAAAGTGTTGCCAATAAGGACAACCAATCAGAAGTTAATTATCCCTAACAGGAAAAACTCAAGGGCCAAAAACAACATCATAAAAGTTACCAATAAGGACAAGCAATTCTCACTTTATAAACGGCCGTTCTGTGGGAGGATGGTTTGTCTTTCATATTTCCGAGGATGGACTCCAGAGAAGCGTGGATGGAGTTGGAGTTGAGGTACGGTACCTAGTAAACACACAGCAGTCTACTTTATCATGAACTTTATATGAGCCACGTGACCATTGAAGTAGTGTGTGTGTGTGTGTGTGTGTGTGTGTGTGTGTGTGTGTGTGTGTGTGTGTGTGTGTGTGTGTGTGTGTGTGTGTGTGTGTGTGTGTGTGTGTGTGTGTGTGTGTGTGTGTGTGTGTGTGTGTGTGTGTGTGTGTGTGTGTGTGTGTGTGTGTGTGTGTGTGTGTGTGTGTGTGTGTGTGGTGTGTGTGTGGTGTGTGTGTGTGTGGTGTGGTGTGCGTGCGTGCGCGCCATTCTCTGTGGTCCACCGTAGCTCAGTTGGTAGAGCATGGCGCTTGCAACGTCAGGACAGCAGGTTCGACTCCTGCCACCACCCATACTTAAAATGTATGCATCCATAACTGTAAGTTGCTTTGGATAAAAGTGTCTGCTAAATGGCATATGGCTTTTATTCGTTGATCCTTGTCAATGTCATCACACTGAATTGTTTGTTGTTTCTCCTTAGTTATGCTTTTCATTACACATTCAAAACAGGCCATAGTAACTGAGAGGAGTGGGTGCGCAAAGTTGAGTACCAATTCACAATAGTAAAGGCAGTATGGTCATGGCAAAATGAAAAATGTATAATGATGAAATTATGCTCTAAAAGAAAGTAGAGGAATAGAAAAATGAAGTGCTTGCTTCAGTACGGTCGTAACGCTGCAGTTTTAAGGAAAGGAGAGTAAGGTGCTACTGTAGGGAATACATGCTTTGGGGGGTTTGGCATCAACCAAAGGTAACGTGTACGTCATAAAATGTGCAGTCAGGCATCAGATGATAGCTGATATGTTAAACACCTATCCAGGCGTGGGAGATCTAGCAGGCGTCTGCAGTGTAGTCAGCCTGGAACGTGGCCAGTGACTCAAACTCCTCCTCCCCTGCCTCACCTTTCCTGCCGAGGACGAGCTGTGCTCCATCATGGTGAAATCACCGGGGCTAACCCTCCATAGGATCACAGACACCTTCTTCTGGATGATGTGCTTCCTGTGTCACAAGAGAAGTACTTCCTGGGTCAATAACATCATGATGACCCTGCAATTTACACTACATCGAATTGTATTTCTCTTGAGAACCTGTGCAGGTTTTCTATTGTATGTAAATCTCATATAACAGTGCAAAGCAACATCAAAGCCTGTTCCATGGGGGTTTAGTGCATATGTAACTAGTGGAATTTCCACTCTGTCACACATGCACATGTTTGTGCCTGGGTCACAACACTGGCACCTGTTCAATTGGCTTTTATACACAATGTCAAATGTATTTCATACACTTCATTTACAGGTAGGGGAACACAATTGTCAATTCTTGTTTCATACATTTAGATCATTTTAGTGTCTGCAACATTACTTCAGACCTATTATATAGGACTTACACACAATTTCAAATCTACAAACTTGCTCTACCTAATAAACAATGTCAGAACTTGTTTCATGCGTTGTGAACACAATGCCTACACGTCGGCTGCAGATAGGGCCTTCACAGTAGTACAGTGTACCATTCTCTCTCTCTCTTTCTTTCCCTCTCTCTCGCTCTCTCTCTCCCTTTCTCTCTCTCTATTATTAACTATTATTGAACCGTCATTCTTAATGCTCGTGGGCATCAAGGCCTACTCCCTCATTCATTCCAGGACTAGCGATCACGACGCCATTCATATTATAGCATAAATGTTCCCACTTCAAATGATAATTTAAAAGTAATCATTTGGAAAGGAAAAGTCAATTTATCACATGAAAGGGTAATGGAGGCTAAACTAGAGGCTGAGATACTGAGACATCCGAGATAATGACTTCTTCCTAAGGATGATAGTTTCATGCATGCTCACTCACACACAGGTTTGAGTGGGTTCACACACACCGCACACACACACAATTACATGCACGCACACACGGGGCTTTGAGTGAGTTCATGACGAGAAAAAGTCAGTACAGATTCATTCTTCATTAATCCATCCTTTGTTTGAAAGCAATGTGAGCCTTATGACGTCCTCTCCCCACTTTCCTGAATAATTCTGGAATATTCAAAAATCCCTGCGTTTGCTGAAAAACTCCTTTAATCACGAAGTAAGAGCAAGTGAGAGTGATAGAGCGAGATCCACATTATGGACTATCCACATTACTTACCGGAACAGTGCTGTATGTTGTACGTTTGCACGGCTAGACTACCACTAGATGGAAAAAATACAATACTAGGTGTGTGAGTGACTGAGTGAGTGAGTGAGTGCGTGCGTGCGTGCGTGAGTCTGTCTGTCTGTGTGTGTGTGTCTCTGTGTGTGTCTGTGTGTGTGTGTGTGTGTGTGTGTGTGTACCTGTAGAGAAGACAAACGATAAGTGTCCCGGTGGCCAGGAAAACAGCAATGGTCCCCACAGCTATCGCAAACCTCCTCTCTGCAACACAAATACACTGTAGCATAAGCTTCGATAACAGGTTGACAATGCCAAATGGTACTGCCCGAAATATATGGTAGCATAGACTGTTTTCAAACAAACCTTTTATTAAACATTTATTTTATTGCTTTTCATGACTCAATTGGAAATAGATTTGCTCATCTCAATATAAACTCCTGAATAAATAAAGGATAAATAAATAAAGTATCTAATGTATTAGATTAGAAGTTCAAATCTTTATCTTCATCATCATTTTAAGGGGATTATTTTACTCATAAATGTATAAAAGTGTTATTTTCATAAACAGGTCGCCAAACAAAACTTTCTCATTTGCATTCTTGCATCTCTTCCACATTATCCCTTCTTAATACTAATTTTAAAAATATATATAATAAAGCCCAAACATCAATAAGTTCCACACATTCTTCACGGGGCCATATGTACGAGTCCCTGTCTGCCAAACCAAGCTGGAAGCAACGGCAAAGAAAACATTTTCGGACCACATATCAAATCCATCCAGAGAGAATTCCGGATAGAAAACAATTGATAACAAAGAATAAAACCCTGGTTACGTCTCAAATGGCACCCTATTCCCTTAACAGTGCACTACTTTTGACCAGGACTGTGTAGGGAATAGGGTGCCATTTGGGACGGAATCCCTGTTACATAACCCTGGCTAGACCGTTATGAGGTAGACTGAGGTCTACCTAGGTAGCTGGGGGGGACTTTAATAAAACGGTATTAAAAGAAGTCCATATTTCAGTGGAAAATAAAATAAAGATTTCCTTTCGTCCAGCAGGCACTAGTGAATAATTCAATGTGTAACTGTTTTTGGGAGTCAATTCTCGTTCTCTCTGGTTCTCTCTCTCTCTGCCTCCGTCATTCTCCCTCTCTCTGGCTCCCTCCTTTCTCTTTCTCCCTCCCTCCTTGTGTTAATCTTGGGGGAGACAGTGCCGGTACCGGGGTTGATGGGAGTTGGGTGAACTATGGTGTAGCCGGAGCAATCAGGTGCATACACAGCATATCAGAGAGCAGAGAAGTTGAACCGACACCAACAGAACAGACACAGCTTTAGAGGATATATGGGGCTCTGGCTCCGCCTGTTGGTGTGGTAACACACTGCATATGCTGTCAAGTGACAATACTTACATGACATCTAAGGACATACAAGCCTGGAGCGGACAGACCACAATGCCTGCTGCCTGCTGTTCTTCATCAAGTAAACAAATGAACTAATCAAATTAATGTACTTTGATAAATGAATAAAGATTGGAAATAAATTATGACTAAATAAATTATACATTTATATAATGAGACCAATGATTTATATATACACTAGATGGCTAACAGGAGGTGCTGTGTTGAAGCCACTTTGCCTCCATCTTGGCACTCCCCCACGTTGCAAAAAAATATTTTTGGAAGCTATAGAAATGCATTTATTAATGTCTACATTCGTTTTTGCCACATTTATAATATTACAGACACCTTAATGCATACTTTTAAATTATATTACGTGAGCTAAACATAAAAATAGAAACATATATACATAATTTTCCTTATTTAAAGTATATATATTTTTGGATTACTAATGGTACTGTCCCCACTACAACATCAAAATACTTAAATACATTTTGTCCTTGAAACATTTAATTGAAATACTGTACAATTCCATTAATTCCTATGGATGACTGCACCTACTGGAGAGTGCCAATATGGCCGACCGGTGGCTTCAAAGCCTCTCAATGGCGCATATCATCAGCAATCCAGGGTTTGTATACATCATTGCATTAAACTGACAAAAAGTATTACCAGAAAGCATGGGACAAAATTTCACCAGCAGCTGCATTTTTGGTCATATCTACCTAACCCAAGCAGGTCTGTTAAGGGTCAGCTATCAACTCAACACAAAATGATAATGTGCGTACTGCGGAGACTAGAGAATACTAGAGAAGGTCCATTGGTGTAACAAACACACAGTACCGTTATTGAAGAGCTCATCTTTGAAGTCAAAGTCGGGTGTGTCCTTCGGTGGAGTCTTCCTCCCTCCTGGCCAGTAGACTTGGACCCCCTCCACTGGCTCATAAGCCTTATTCGTACCAAAGTAATTGGCGATAACCTACCAGGGGAGAAGATACCATGACCATCTATGGTTACTTAAAAATGTTTGCACATTAAAGGCTGTGTGTTGGACGCAGCCCATTTCAGGGAAGTCAATCACAGTAAGAAGGGCCAGGAAGTTAACGTTTACGAGTGATTTTCCTTTTAGAAATGGTCTATGGATGTCACATACAGTAGTTGCTGGCATGATCTTAATTTGCCATAGTAATCAATATAGCATCCAGCTGCTATCCAAAATACGAGCCAGATCTACTGTAATACTGAATGTCTCACAGTGCATGCCAATTCTAATTGTTGTTTTCCCAGTATGCATGCCCTCACTATTGGCAAGCTCAAAACCTCCTGGCTGATCTGTTTACATTTCCCTTAGATCTTCTTTAAATTGACTCATTTTATTGCCACATCACTCGTTTCCTGGGAAGACATGAGTCTTGAAAGGTGATGCATGGTCGGAAGAAACCACATTCACAGAAACCAAAATTACATGGGACAGGAAGAAAGTCCTTCATTTTGGTTAGCTGCAATGAAACCAGCAACGAGGGGCCATCAGAGAAGAATGTTGCAACAAAATATGTTTATTTCAACAACTACAATTTGAAACATTAAGATCCAATCTTCAAAGCCATTTCAAGGCGGTAATTAAGAGAATGCACTCTCAAGAGCTTTTAGTAGTGGCCCTAATGGCCAAGTTGGTCCTAGGTGGGTACTTGAGAGGAGAGTAGGGTCGTGTGTGTGTTGCACTGCATGTCCACCTCTCTCTTTATCTCTCTCTCTCTCTCCCAGGATTCTGCCCGTCATGTCGCCCTTTTGTGTAGGAGTCTGCCATCCCTAACCTGTATAATGGGGCCTCCGCCACTCTGCAACTCTCAGTTGTTATTTTCTATTACTGCACCTGGGTTCAAGTAGTATTTGTTTGCTATTCAAATACTTTGAGCATTTGCTTCAGCGTGCCTGCAGTGCCAGCTGGGCATGGTTGGAGATTCCGGGACAATTTGTGTGTGTGTGTGTGTGTACAGGATCAGAAATACACTGAAATCAGACAACTGAAATGTGGGCCAACGAGACAGATTGGGGTTGAAAAGCAAAACGACAATAGATACAGTGGCAAAGCATTAAATCAGCACTGTAATTGTTCAGAAGAGTGTTTACATTTTGGACAGGCTGTGATAAAAGTGGTTGCTTAAGATGTGAACACTGTGTAGACATTAGCAGAAAATAAAGGGAAAACAGAGAGTTGAGAGAGAGAGAGGGGGAAGGAGATTTTATAAAAGGGGCAGGAGGGAGAGAGTGACAGCGAGCAAGAGAGAGAGAGAGCGATACATTATTATATTCTTATTTTTTCAATAGAGAAATAGGCAAACAGACAGAGAGAGAGACAGAGGTATGGCAAGACAAAGATGAAGAAAGAGAGTGACAGAGAGAGTGTGATGTAAGAGACAGAAGGACTGAGAGACAGAGAGTGACAAAGTGCTAGAAATAGAAAGAAAGTGTTAGAGAGAGTGATAGAAAGAAAAGAGAGCGAGTGACAGAGAGAAAGAGAGAGAGTGATAGTGTATCAGCGTCTGACTTTGAACTCGCTGTCGTTGTCTCCGCCCTGGATGTGTTTCATCATATAGGCAGTCTCCCTGTCTCCATTGGCGTCCATGGTAACGTCACCCTGGATACCTAACGGATAGAGTCCAGAAAACGAACATATGGGCTATCCACACCTTATGTGTCATTATGTTTTAAATACAGTCATATACAGGTAACTGCCAAAATAAAGGAAACACCAACATAGTGTCTTAATAAGGCATTGGGCCAAAATAATGGGCTACAGGTTATTTTTATACAAGACCCAAAGCATGATGGGATGTAAATTGCTTAATTAACTGTTGAAGCACCTGCTTTCAATATACTTTGTATTCCTCATTTACTCAAGTTTTTTCTTTGTTTTTGCAGTTACCTGTACATCTCTCTGTGAGGCAATGAAGCTGCCAGGTCTCCCTTGAAAAATAGGCATTTTGACATCAATGGGACTGCTGTGCAAAACGATAAAAGAAAATGAAATAATTGCATTTTATAAATAAAATACAATTACTCTTGTAAATAACTGTAAATCATATCTGTATATAATCTCAATGACCTTTAACTGCAACCATTAACCATTAAAGTTATAACTACCAGGTGAAATAAATAATACAAAATGGCTGACCTGTGATGGTTCGGTTCCACATCTTGCGGGTTATGGTGAAGCCGTCGTACGGGTCTCCGTGTTCCGCCAGGGTTTCATTCAGAGCCTGAGCGTACAGCCATACAGAGTCATGGGCTATGGCTGCCAGCACCGACACCTGCCATTGGACAAACAGTCAGAAACAGAGAGTTACATATACTGTATATACACTCTTAGAAAAAAGTGCTCCAAAAGGGTTCTTCGGCTGTCCCAATAGGAGAACCCATTTTGGTTCCAGGTAGAACCCTTTTGGGTTCCAGGTAGAACGCTCTGTAGAAAGGGTTCTACATGGAATTCAAAAGAGTTATACCTGGAACCAAAAGGGTTATACCTGGAACCAAAAAAGGTTATTCAAAGGGTTCTCCTACAGGGACAGCCGAATAACTATTTTAGGTTCTAGATTGCACCTTTTTTCTAAGAGTGTACAGTATATATACAGCTAAACATAGTAGCTAAGTACCAGACCCGGGTTCAAAATAGTATTTGGAAATCGGTCAAATCTTTTAGCTGCGCTGAATTGAGCTTGCCTGGCGCAATGGAATCAATGAAATCGTCCCAAAAGTAGAAAGCCCAGCCCCATCTGGCACTCCAGACAGGGTCAATCGACAGGTGTGTGTGTATTTTATAGCACACCTTTTCGTTGGGTGCGTAGCCATAGCCAAAGTCCTCTCTGGATCTGCGGATGACGTCGTTGGAGAAGTTCCAGTACCTCTGGTCGTTGGGTTTGTACAGAGAGAGTAGAAACAGAGCCTTGTAGGCCTGCTTAGCCACAGAGTCATCCACATCTCCTACAACACATCAACACCATTCATGGATTTGTCCTAAGGTTGTAAAATTCCAGTAGCATTCCCAAAATTCCCATGTAGTATTGTATTGTATTGTATCGTAGGGTGCCAATTGGGACACACCCTACCTCTTTTCCAGTCAAATTTGCCAAACATCTCCTCCTGCCTGTAGGGCTCGAAGCAGAAGAAGACGTAATCTCCTGTGGTGAGGCCTCTCCTGTGGGCCTCGATCAGGAAGCCCCTGACCACCTCCCCACGCGCTGAGATCACTATGACTACAGGGCAAGACACAAATACTAAATATAGGCTACATTAAAATACCCATACTAGTATACCAGTTAGAATGCATGGCCGGGGCGGCAGGTAGCTTAGTGGTTAAGAGCGTAGTGCCAGTAACCTAAAGGTCGCTGGTTCTAATCCCCGAGCCGACTAGGTGAAAAATCTGTCGATGTGCCCTTGAGCAAGGCACTTAACCCTAATTGCTCCTGTAAGTCGCTCTGGATAAGAGCGTCTGCTAAATGACTAAAATGTAAATGTAAATGTTAATTGTAAATAGTACGCTGGTGTGGACATTGGAATACAGAGCCAATAACCTAATAGAACATTCCAAAAAATGACTTACTGCGAGACACCTCGGCAACCTCCTGTAGCATACGTGCTTGTGTGAGGGCTGTGTGAGTGTTGTCTTGCCCGAGAGGTGTTCGAAACTCCAGGTATTTAGCCACAGTGATATTATTGACTTCAGCTTGATACCTTATAGAAATAGAAACGGTAGCTCATTTTCTCAGGTTCCTCCCTACATGTAGCCCTACCTCACATTCCAGTGTCCTATTTCAAGTGTATCTATTGTATTGTATCGTGCGGCGTCGTATCGTACCTGATTCCCTCAGCAGGGATGATCCAGGCAGGTCTGTGGTCGTAGATAATGCTTATACGTCTCCAGCCAAACTTCTCACAGATCTTCACGAAGAACAAGCCCATCTTGGTGAAGGGGCCAAACACTCTGGTAAGAGTGGGGTAAGCCTGTCACCGTCACAGAAAATAGCATGTGATAAAGTAGCAACTGTGTACTCCAGGTTCTGAGGGATGTAAGTTAGTTATAGTTAGTTATTGGTATATGAGTTATATTAAAGTGATATTTGACCTTTTTGATGAGAAATTGCTGGTCTGCACAGGTGGGACTGACCACGGGAATGTTCCAGAAAGCTGCGAGCTTGGCAGTGATCGCACACACCTAAAGAGGGTGTTCTATCATCATTGGATTGTAATGCAGATAATATAGTTAGTGCAATATGATTTACGATTTATTTATTTATACAGGTGAAGGTGGTGACCTTACTTCGGAGCAGGCGGGGCCGATGAAAGCGCTGTAGTTCCGTATGTGCAGTAGCTCCACTATCTTCCCCGGGCCATTCACATCGCTACACTCGTCATCCACGTATTCATGCTTCAGCAAATGACCTGAGGACATACAACACAGTAACTTACAGTGGCTATTGACTGAGTATGACTTCTGATGTCCTCTTGGCCAGTGTTTCTCAGTGTGCTTCAGTGACTCCCAGCAGTTGCATGCCATACAATACAATACAATACAATAGTACAATACAACGTTATTGTCCATTCATTATAGCAAACAACAGATCTGTCTCTTTGTATTATAAATATTATATAATATATAACATATTATATACTATACAATGTCTCTGTGTACTGACCTGCCAACAGATCGGGGCTCTGGTTCACGGCGTCGATGGCGATGAGGGCTCCCGCCCCGATCCTGCCCACACTGAAGGGCATGGAGGTGTTGGGCAAGGACAGGAGCAGGGTGAACGTTGACCCTGTCACCCAGGGCACCGAGGACAGAAAGACGGGTAGCACTAGAGCCCTAAGCAGGAGTGCCATCACTCTGGGAGATACAGGAATGTAAGAATGGACCCTGGTTGCTAACTCACTGTGGAGGAGGCTCCATAAAAGGACAAAGCCTTCAATTAAGTCTATATTGTTTGTGTCTGGATGTGCTCTGATAATGCTTTAGCTAAGGCATATGATAGGCTCATTATACAGTAATACGTTTCCAAATTGCATGGGGTAACACTCACTTTGTTTTACTCAGAATCCCTAACGTGTAAGATTTGGAAAACCGTTCAAAGAAATGCTGTTGAATGTAGACTGTGAGAGCTGGTAGGTTGAATGTGCAACATCCAGAAATTGTTTAGAAAAATCTCGACATGACACCTTACACAAAATACAGGAATATAAGGCCTACTCACACTAAAAAATACAGATATAGACAGTAGACATGAGAAATACCGTTTACAACAAAGTATCGGTTCAATATACATTTCAATATGAAATTCACTTACCAGTCATTCAGTCAAATATTATAAAAACGTGGCATATTTCGAAATGATGTTCTCCGAGGCCCCACTACAGTAAATTACAATTTAGCACCACCTGTTGTCCATCAGTTAGACTAGTTAGTATATCAAAGCCTCTGATAAGATGCGCGTGCATCCGTGAAACGTATTCAAATACATATCACTCGCAACTGCATCAACTACTGGCCAGAGAATACATGCATGCTCCCCAATTGCCTATTATACATCTTGTGGTTCTCAAATTAATCTTACAACATGTTCGCTAAACCCTGGGAAGATACAACGCACCACGAGTTTGTTTAACTTAACGACTGCACAAGTAAACAGTTGACATGGACAATTATGGAAGCACTTAAGTGCTGGCTTGTTTATATTGGTAGTAATACTTCCTGTTGTCATAGAATAAATAAATGGGAATTTAGTAGACATCAATTGTCAATGATAATCAGGATTGGGGAGTAATCAGTTACATGTAATCTAAAAAAAATAGCAATAAAGGTAATCAGTTACATTACCAGCAAAAAATATTGTAATCAGATTACAGACACTGTGAAAAACTACATGATTATTGCTTGGATTACTTTTAAATTCTAAAAGGTTTGCGAAAAAAATACATTGACAATTTTCTGTTTTCCCAACGACATTCAATTCAGAATTGAAAAAAGGTGCACGTTTAAGTTTGTCCACCTGAGTGAGTCTGACCATAAATCAGAGACCACTATTATGACACACCAAAGGCGTTTAATGGATCATTTTTGTCTTCAACTAATGCCTCTTAAGGGGAAAGCAATCCAAAAGTAACAGAAAGTAATCAAATTATGTTACAGAATTTCAGGTAATCCAAAAGTTACGTTATTGATTACAATTTTGGATAGGTAACTAGTAACTGTAATGGATTACATTTAGAAAATAACCTACCCAACCCTGAATTGTTAATGTTTAATAAATAAAGTTGTTCAGGTTCACTTCCTCCTTGGGGCTACTGAGTAGCAGTCCCAACTGGGATATTACATTGAATTGAATAGATTTCTCCAAGTGCAGTTCCAAACCATTCCCTTTTTTGGAATGGTTGTTATCTCATTTGTCTTATTTCACAGGGGATTTGGGAAGTAAAATAGCCAAAAGGTTTATGAAAAACACAAGGTTTATATAAAACAAAAACTTAATTTTTTAATTGGATTAAAATGGACAAAAATACCCCTATCTATGAACTGTGAGAAAACAGGATCGTGGGAAATGGCTTGAAGCTCCAAACAGGCTGAAAGCCAAAGGAGGCCCATCGCTACTGCAAATAGACTCAACACCACTAGTCTGTATGACAAATAAAGATAAAAAATGATATCTGCTCAGCCTGAAGATGGATGGTTTAAGAAAAGAGTAGCTTCCTCTTAGAAAAACAGTTATGTTTATATTGAGGATTGGCCCCAAGTCAGCGTCGTAGCAATTATTCAGAAGTCAATGTTAAAACACATGGTAGCACGTTCTGATTTTCTGCACGTAATTCATGGTGACGATGTTCCAGTGAGAAATGTTGGATTAATAAACACGAAAATATTGAATTGTCACACTGGGTAGATGAGATTAAAGTATAAGGGCCAGAGTCCCTGACCCGGATTAAACCTACTCCTGGACCAAAAAGCACTGAGCACAACATCTGGGTCAGTTTAACCGCTGTGGGGTTATACTTTAATCTTATCCCTAAAAATAATAATCACACAATAAGGCCCTGTGGAAAGTTTCCCCTTCTATCCCACACACACACACACTTTCGTTTTTTCCCATCCAAAGGTTTAATCTATCACCACAGTAGGTTTGGTTAGACTCTAACCCTCCATCCCCTTTCAGTCTCACCTTTGACCTCGGACTCATTAATGACCATCTCACCCCCTAAACCCTAACCCCTGACACTAGTTGTTCGTTAGTCAGATATCGGTCAGCCATTTACTCTCCGTCACTGTTGATATTGCATGTGTGCCTGCGACTGCGTGAGTGAGGGTGAAAGCGAGAGAGAGAGAGAGTAATGTGTCAGTAGGCCTACCATAGAGAGGTGTTGATGTGCTTCTAGGTGACCTTCCATTACTATCAGGTCATGGACTGTTGCTTTACTGCTGTGATTTATTACCAACAAGATGATGACACGCATTAGTGCTGGTGGCTGCTGAGCTAAATGTTGGAGATGGATTTTTTTTTTTTTGCCAATGTCATAACATAGCATGACATAACATGTCCTAACTTGTTAGGTTTATATTCTGCATCCCAGGGGGAACCTGGTTACTGGATTGGAATCATTTTGACATGTAAAATGTGAATTTGTACATTGAATTCAAGGATTTTGCATTGGAGGGTTCCCTTTCCCGTTTCTACCACTGGTCAAGTCTAGGCTGGTGATTAGCTGTTCTGTAACTAGAGATAACAGATGAGAAAACAGCTGGGACCACCATGCACTAGAGTCCCATATACAGTACATAATATTATCCAGTAGATGGCAGTCATATCCTTTGTAAACTCTAGGCAAATAGAATCAAACTCTGGGCCTGTATTCATAAAGTGTCTCACAGAAGGAGTGCTGATCTAGGATCAGGTCGCTCTGTCCGTGTAATATTATTTGTGATCTTAAAGGCAAAACTGATCCTAAATCAGCAACCCTATCCTCGTCACCAAGCTTAGGACTCTGGGTCTGAACACCTCCCTCTGCAACTGGAACCTGGGGCCGACCCCAGGTGGTGATGGTAGGCAACATCACCTCCACCACACTGACCCTTAACACAGGCGCCCCACAGAGTGGTGTGCTTAGTCCCTTCATGTACTCCCTGTTCACCCATGACTGTGTGGCCACGCACGACTCCAACACCATTATCAAGTTCACTGACGACGCGATGGTGTTAGGCCTGATCACCAGCGACGATAAGTCAGCCTACAGGGAGGAGGTCAGTGACCTGGCTGTGTGGTGCCGGAGCAACAACCTCTCCCTCAACGTCAGCAAGGCCAAGGAGCTGATCGTGGACCACAGGGAACGGGGGGGTCACTAAAGACTTAAAATTGTCCAAACACACATGCACAGTCGTGAAGAAGGCCTCTTTCCCCTCAGGAGATTGAAAAAGTTTGGAATGGGCCCTCAAATCCTGAAAAGGTTCTACAGCTGTACCATTGAGAGCATACTGACTGGCTGCATCACTGCTTGGTATGGCAATAGCACTGCCCTCAATCACATGGTGCTACAGAGGGTTGTGCGGACAGCCCAGTACATTACTGGAGCCGAGCTCCATACCATCCAGGACCTCTATATCAGGCGGTGTGAAAAGAAGGCCCGGAAAATCGTGAAAGAGCCCAACCACCCAAGCCATAGACTATTTTCTCTGCTGCCGCACGGGAAGAGGTACCGGTGCATCAAGTCTGGCACCAACAGGCTCTTGAACAACTTCTATCCCCAAGCAATATGACTGATAAATAGCTAACAAAAATAGCTACACGGACCGAGTTTACCTTGTATCTTTATTGTCTCTATGCACACTCACAGGCACTGTCACTCCAACACACACACACAAACACTCACTCCATCATTTGCTCACTCACACATAATATGCACATACATTTAAACTGACTCTACACACCCACACCCACTCACACGTAAACCGCTGCTAATCTGTTTATCTAATATCCTGTTGCCTAGTCACCTTACCCTGATACATATCTACCTCCATCACTCCAGTATCCCTGCACATGTAAACATGGTATTGGAACTGCATTTTTGTATTATTTCCTGTATATACAGTTGAAGTCGGAAGTTTACAAACACCTTAGCCAAATACATTTAAACTCAGTTTTTCACTATTCCTGACATTTAATCCTAGTAAAAATTTCCTGTCTTAGGTCAGTTAGGATTTATTTTAAGAATGTGAAATGTCAGAATAATAGTAGAGAGAATGATTTATTTCAGCTTTTATTTCTTTCAACACATTCCCAGTGGGTCAGAAGTTTACATACACTCAATTAGTATTTGGTAGCATTGCCTTTAAAGTGTTTAACTTGGGTCAAACGTTTCGGGTAGCCTTCCACAAGCTTCCCACAATAAGTTGGGTGAATTTTGGCCCATTCCTCCTGACAGAGCTGGTGTAACGGAGTCAGGTTTGTAGGTCTCCTTGCTCGCACACGCATTTTCAATAGGATTGAGGTCAGGGCTTTGTGATGGCCACTCCAATACATTTACATTTTAGTCATTTAGCAGATGCTCTTATCCAGAGCAACTTACAGTTAGTGAGTGCATAAATTTGTCATACTGGCCCCCCGTGGGAAACGAACCCACAACCCTGGCGTTGCAAGCGCCATGCTCTACCAACTGAGCTATAGGTGGGACAATACCTTGACTTTGTTGTCCTTAAGCCATTTTGCCACAACTTTGGAAGTATGCTTGGGGTCAAGACCCATTTGCGACCAAGCTTTAACTTCCTGACTGATGTCTTGAGATGTTGCTTCAATATATCCACATAATTTTCCTTCCTCATGATGCTATCTATTTTGTGAAGTGCACCAGTCCCTCCTGCAGCAAAGCACCCCCGCAGCATGATGCTGCCACCCCCGTGCTTCACGGTTGGGATGGTGTTCTTCGGCTTGCAAGCACCCCCTTTTTCCTCCAAACATAACAATGGTCATTATGGCCAAACAGTTTTTTGTTTCATCAGACCAGAGGACATTTCTCCAAAAAGTATAATCTGTCCCCATGTGCAGTTGCAAACCATAGTCTAGCTTTTTTATGGCAGTTCTGGAACAGTATAGCTTCTTCCTTGCTGAGCGGCCTTTCAGGTTATGACGATATAGGACTCGTTTTACTGTGGATATAGACACTTTTGTCCCTGTCTCCTCCAGCATCTTCACAAGGTCCTTTGCTGTTGTTCTGGGATTGATTTGCAGTTTTCGCACCAAAGTACGTTCATCTCTAGGAGACAGAACGCGTCTCCCTTCCTGAGCGGTATGCAGGCTGCGTGGTCCCATGGTGTTTATACTTGCGTACTATTGTCAGGCGTTTGGAAATTGCTCCCAAGGATGAAACAGACTTGTGGAGGTCTACATTTTCTTTTCTGAGGTCTTGGCTGATTTCTTTTGATTTTCCCATGATGTCAAGCAAAGAGGCACTGAGTTTGAAGGTAGGCCTTAAAATACATCCAGAGGTACACCTCCAATTGACTCAAATGATGGCAATTAGCCTATCAGAAGCTTCTAAAGCTGTTTAAAGGCACAGTCAACTTAGTGTATGTAAACTTTTGACCCAATGGAATTGTGATAGAGTGAATTATAAGTGAAATAATCTGTCTGTAAAAAATTGTTGGAAAAATGTATTGTGTCATGCACAAAGTAGATGTCCTAACCGACTTGCCAAAACTATAGGTTGTTAACAAGAAATTTGTGGAGTGGTTGAAAAACGAATTTTAATGACTCCACCCTAAGTGTATGTAAACTTCCGACTTCAACTGTAGTTGCTTACTTACTTAATTGTGTATTTCATATTTCTTATTCTTTTTTCTAGTAAAAGATTGTAATTGATTATTGCATTGTTGGGTTTTGAGTTTGCAAGAAAGGCATTTCACTGTACTTGTGCATGTGACATTAAAATCAAATCAAATCAAATGTTACTTGTCACATGCGCCGAATACAACAGGTGTAGACCTTACAGTGAAATGCTTACTTACAAGCCCTTAACCAACAATGCAGTTTTAAGAAAAATAAGTGTTAAGTAAAAAATAGATCAGCAAAAATAAAAAAATAAGAAAAATAACAAATAATTAAAGAGCAGCAGTAAAATAACAGTAGCGAGGCTATATACAGGGGGTACAGGTACAGAGTCAATGTGCGGGGGCACAGGTTAGTCAAGGTAATTGAGGTAATATGTACATGTGGGTAGAGGTAAAGTGAATATGCATAGATAATAAATAGAGTAGCAGAAGCGTAAAAAGAGGGGGTGGGGGAAAATGCAATTAGTCCGGGTAGCCATTTGATTAGCTGTAAAGGAGTCCCATGGCTTTGGGGTAGAAGCTGTTAAGAAGCCTTTTGGACCTGGTGCTCCAGTACCGCTTGCCGTGTGGTAGCAGAGAGAACAGTCTATGACTATGGTGGCTAGAGTCTTAGGCAATTTTTAGGGCCTTCCTCTGACACCGCCTGGTATAGAGGTCCTGGATGGCATGATGTACTGGGCCGTACGCACTACCCTCTGTAGTGCCTTGCGGTCAGTTGCCATACCAGGCAGTGATGCAACCAGTCAGGATGCTCTCGATGGTGCAGGTGTAGAAGTTTTTGAGGATCTGAGGACCCATGCCAAATCTTTTCAGTCTCCTGAGGGGGAATAGGCTTTGTCGTGCCCTCTTCACGACTGTGTTGTGTTTGGACCATGACATTTTGTTGGTGATGTGGACACCAAGGAACTTGAAGCTCTCAACCTGCTCCACTACAGCCCCGTCAATGAGAATGGGGGTGTGCCGGTCCTCCTTTTCCTGTGGTCCACAATCATCTCCTTTGTCTTGCTCACGTTGAGGGAGAGGTCGTTATCCTGGCACCACACGGCCAGGTCTCTGACCTCCTCCCAATAGGCTCATCTTTGCCGGTGATCAGGCCTACCACTGTTGTGTCGTCTGGAAACGTAATGATCGTGTTGGAGTCGTGCTTGGCCATGCAGTCATGGGTGAACAGTGAGTACAGGAGGGGACTGAGCAAGCACCCCTGAGGGGCCCCCGTGTTGAGGATCAGCGTGGTAGATGCAGTTTAAATACTGTTGGTTAAGGGCTGTAAGTAAGCATTTCACTGTAATGTCTGCACCTGTTGTATTCGGCGCATGTGGCCAATACAATTTCATTTGATTTGATTTGAAAGGGCAGTGTGGAGTGCAATAGGGATTGCATCCTCTATGGCTCTGTTGGGGCGGTAAGCAAATTGGAGTGGGTCTAGGGTTTCTGGGATAATGGTGTTGATGTGAGCCATGACCAGCCTTTCAAAGCACTTCATGGCGACAGACCTGAGTGCTACGGGTCAGTACTCATTTAGGCAGGTTACCTTAGTGTTCTTGGGCACAGGTCTGCTTGAAACATGTTGGTATTACAGACTCAGTCAGGGACAGGTTCAAAATGTCAGTGAAGACACTTGCCAGTTGGTCAGCGCATGCTCGGAGTACACGTCCTGGTAATCCATCTGGCCCTGCGGCCTTGTGAATGTTGACCTGTTTAAAGGTCTTACTCACATCGGCTACGGAGAGCGTGATCGCACAGTCGTCTGGAACAGCTGATGCTCTCATGCATGCTTCAGTGTTGCTTGCCTCGAAGCGAGCATAGAAGTAATTTAGCTTGTCTGGTAGGCTCATGTCTCTGGGCAGCTCGCGGCTGTGCTTCCCTTTGTAGTCCGTAATAGTTTGCAAGCCCTGCCACATCCGACAAGCATCGGAGCCAGTGTAGTATGATTCAATCTTAGTCCTGTATTGACGCTTTGCCTGCTTGATGGTTCGTCGGAGGGCATAGCAGGATTTCTTATAAGCGTCCGGGTTAGAGTCCCGCTCCTTGAAAGCGGCAGCTCTACCCTTTAGCTCAGTGCGGATGTTGCCTGTAATCCATGGCTTCTGGTTGGGGTATGTACGTATGGTCACTTTGGGGACGACGTCATCGAGGCACTTATTGATGAAGCCAGTGACTGATGTGGTGTACTCCTCAATGCCATTGGAAGAATCCCGGAACATATTCCAGTCTGTGCTAGCAAAACAGTCCTGTAGCTTAGCATCTGCGTCATCTGACCACTCCTATATTGAGCGAGTAACTGGTACTGCTTTAGTTTTTGCTTCTAAGCAGGAATCAGGAGGATAGAATTATGGTCAGATTTGCCAAATGGAGGGCGAGGGAGAGCTTTGTAAGTGTCTCTGTGTGTGGAGTAAAGGTGGTCTAGAGTTTGTTTTCCTCTGGTTGCACATTTAACATGCTGGTAGAAATGAGGTAAAACAGATTTAAGTTTCCCTGTATTAAAGTCCCTGGCCACTAGGAGCGCCGCCTCTGGATAAGCATTTTCTTGTTTGCTTATGGCCTTATACAGCTCATTGAGTGCGGTCTTAGTGCCAGCATCGGTTTGTGGTGGTAAACAGACAGCTACGAAAAATATAGATGAAAATTATCTTGGTAAATAGTGTGGTCTACAGCTTATCATGAGATACTCTACCTCAGTCGAGCAAAACCTCGAGACTTCCTTAATATTAGATATCGTGCACCAGCTGTTATTTACAAATATACACAGGCCGCCACCCCTTGTTTTAACGGAGGCAGCTGTTCTATCTTGCCAATGAACCGAAAACCCCGCCAGCTGTATGTTATCCATGTCAACGTTCAGCCACGACTCATGAAACATAAGATATTACCGTTTTTAATGTCCCGTTGGTAGGATATTCTTGATCGGAGCTCATCCATTTTATTATCCAATGATTGTACGTTGGCTAATAGGACTGATGGTAGATTACCCATTCGCCGTCGGATCCTTACAAGGCACCCCGACCTACGTCCCCGATATCTCCGTCTCTTCTTCATGCGAATGACGGGGATTTGGGCCTTGTCGGGTGTCTGAAGTAAATCCTTTGCGTCCCAGAAAATCTTTGTCCAGTACGAGGTGAGTAATCGCTGTCCTAATATCCAAAAGCTATTTTCGGTCATAAGAGACGGTGGCAGAAACATTATGTACAAAATAAGTTACAAATAATGCGAAAAAAACACACACAATAGCACAATTGGTTAGGAGCCCGTGAAACGTCAGCCATCTCCTCCGGCGCCATTGTTTGTGATCAGTCCTGTTGGAGGGAATTGAACCAGTTTTGTTGCATTGCATCCCTCAGGTCTAGTTCTGCTAACTGAGACAATATTTATTTGCAACGGTAACTACCTGATGTAGCATGCACAACAACACGTTGTTTCATTTCACACACAAGGAAAGAACAAACACACATAATAACACATCTGAGAGGTGTGAAGACTTGACTGAGGCTCCATTGCCATCTGCTACCTTGGCACAGTTACAGTGTGCCTCAGTGTCCTCGTCTATGATTGGTTGAGATAAGGAACACAGTGTCAATGTCTGCCAATGTCTGTCCTCGACTGGCACCGTCTGGGACACATTCAAAGGGTATTACATTTACAATTAAACATGACCATTTCTCACATTAATATACAAGTTTATTAATTCTTGCCATTATTTTTTGTTTGTTTTTCAATAACATGACATTAAATACAGAAGGCACTTACAAAAAACAGTTAAATTATAGACTTGTTATTATATAAACATTAACTTATCAATGTTTTTTTTGTTTTTTTAAACAGATTGATGAAGGACCAGAGATGACGGCACCCTTTGCAGCCTTTTTACAGTACATCTCATATAAGTGGTAAAATCTACCACGCTCTATATATCTACAATACAGTAAAAACAGTATTCATCATTATCATCGTTATAATTGTTAATGCCCCTACTATGCTTTTACATTTATAACGTAATCTAAAAAACTTAAAATATATCAAGCATAAAACACAAGTTGTTTATTTTTTATCACTAGTCAGTGGTTCATTTGTCATTTTTACATGTTAGGCTTTGTGGTTTCTTTGTGCAAGTCCTGGTACATCTCTGTAAGACGAGTGGCCTCTCTCTGTCCCGACAGCAATGCACCATGGGTAGTGGAATAGTATTTCCGGTGGGTGGCTTCCCCGGCAAATAACACCTGTAGAGGCTGAGAGGGTAAAGAGGAGAGGAGAGGAGAGGAAGGGTGAGGAGAGAGGTTGGAAAAAGGAGAGGATAGAGAAGAGATATGACATACAGAAGAATAGAATAGAGAAGGAGATAGGGTGGATAGAGTAGAGGGCAGAGATAGAGAAGAGATATGACATACAGAAGAATAGAATAGAGAAGGAGATAGGGTGGATAGAGTAGAGGGCAGAGATAGAGAAGAGAGGAGGGGGCGAGAAAAAAAAAGACAAGATCTAAACAAACCAGTGAACGTCGGCATGACCCAACATATGGTATGTGTACTCTATTACTGCCTCCGAGCCATGGGCTGCATCCCAAATGGCCCCCTATACTCTACATAGCGCACTACCTTTGACGAGAGCCCTATGGACCCTGGGCAAAAGTAATGCACTATATAGGGAATTTTGAGCCATTTTGATGCAGGCATGGGGAGCTATTTTATCATATCTGTCTATATGTAAGAAGGCTGCTTGTGACGATCTGTCGCTCTTTTGACGGGAGGGGGATTTCTCTAAGGTCACGCTGCTCCTTTAACAGTCTTTAAGTGGCCACACACACACACACACAGAAGACACGCACACACACACACACTAAGATAAGGACACATGCGTCAGGTTTCAGGGGCTACACTGCTGGCCAAGACCCATGATTCATAATCCATCCAACACTGTGACTGTCATGTCCCCTACTGCCTTATTAGGTGGCATAGTGATGACACAGGCACATTGACAACATGCTACGAGTACCTCTGGTGACTGTAAACAAGCATCACGCCTCCAGAGACCAATGAAAGTAAATACATTCTCATTACACTGTCATTAACATACTGTGCCACAAACACCACTTAGTCATTGGGGAAGGCTTTTCATCCTATAACCCACTGTGGTTGACACATTGCTCCTTACTTTTCACAGCACCTTAGCTAATCATCATGTTCATTAAGGAGAAAACGTTTTGAAACTGAGTGAAACGGGGAGGTACTACCTGAACTTGTCCAATAAAAACGCTAGTTTTTCCATTCCATTGTACAATGTTTTGAAACGTCTTGCTACGGTGTGCCCTAATTAACACGACCCAGCTGATATACACTACATCCAGTCTGGGTTCAAATACATGCATATTTAAGTATGTGTTATTTAAATACTTATTTTCTGTTGGAGTATTTTCAAATAATGTGGCCAAATCAACTTCTTCTATTTGTATTTTCAAACAACTTCCTATAAATATACAAAACTATTTTCAAATAGCCTTAGGACCAAACAGACCTGGGTTAAAATGCATAGAGTATTTAAATATTTGTATACTTAAGAGTATTTTCAAATACAAGCCAATACTTTCCAAGTGTATTTCCAAATGCATTCCAATATTCAACTACTTGTATTTTCAAAGGAAAAAATTCAAAATACTTACTTTAAAATGTCTTTAAAAGTAATTGAAATACCCTAAATAGTATTTGAACCCAAGTCTGCATCCAGATCCAGATGCGGTTCTTACCGGAGCCTTGGTGCTCTTGGTGTAAGGCAGGGGCATGGCTAGCTTCTCCACATCACCCCCACTGGAGCCCACCCGGGTGAAGGAGTAGGAGCCCCGGATGTAAGGGTTACTACCCCACGACGAGCGCAGGATCCGCCTCGGCTTCGGAATGTTGGGGTTCCCTGAAGGAGGGAGAGAAAGAGGAAGAGAGAGGAATGGTGAGGTGGATGCTGAGGACGGTGAGGACAGTGAGGATGGTGAGTCCAATTTAACCCTTTGGATGGACACGGAAACATCAACATCCACACACCAACACACTCGCTCTCACACACAGGCACGCGCACGCAAACGCGCAAACACACACACACACACACAGGAACACCCTCTCTTACAATTCCGCAGGTGGAAATAAGCCATTGAAATCTTCCTAAGGTAATGGCGATGCATGGTGAGTGATCCTCTACCAATCTCCCATAGGTGATCCTCCAACACATCCAATCCAATTCAATCTCCTGTATCGGTACTAATCAGCTATGGTCCCTCTCAGAGGCCAAACACACTAACACACACTCAGGCACACCCTCTCTTACAACTCTTCCGCAAGTGGAAATAAGCCATTGAAATCTTCCTAAGGTAATGGCGATGCATGGTGAATGATCCTCTACCAATCTCCCATAGGTGATCCTCCAACACATCCAATCCAATTCAATCTCCTGTATCGGTACTAATCAGCTATGGTCCCTCTCAGAGGCCAAACACACTAACACACACTCAGGCACACCCTCTCTTACAACTCTTCCGCAAGTGGAAATAAGCCATTGAAATCTTCCTAAGGTAATGGCGATGCATGGTGAATGATCCTCTACCAATCTCCCATAGGTGATCCTCCAACACATCCAATCCAATCCAATCTCCTGTATCGGTACTAATCAGCTATGGTCCCTCTCAGAGGCCATACACACTCTCACACACACTCTAGTCTAGCTGTAATGAATCTGCTTTGTAGGGGATTAAACCGCACTGACCTACATCAGGGGAGTGTGTCAGTGTGTGGGTTAATGAGTTTCCGTGAGGGTGTACTTCCTATGGAAGTAAACAGTGTGAGGGCAGGCAGCGAGTATTGCTCAGAGCGGAAGGCAGGGTTTATGATTTATTGTTTTAGTTGCCTTGGCTGTATAGGGAGGAGTAACTGTAAAGCCCCAGTGAGGTGTGTGTGTTTGTGTGTGTGTCCAGGAAAGCCTCTGACATCATCATTAAGTGATGGTAACCGGGGCGGAGACATATGATAAGCTTAGACCTGACTCTACTATGACCTATTTGTCAGCTAACTGGCTTGACCAGAGGATAACTTAGTCCTTGAAGGAGGACAACAGTCACTTACTGTCAGCCACAATACCGAGCTTTGTCCACCCATGAGATGGGATGCATCCCAAATGGAAACCTATTCCCTATATAGTGCACTACTTTTGAACAAGGCCCATAGGGCTCTGGTCAAAAGTAGTGCACTCTGTAGGGACTAGGGTGCCATTTGGGACGCAACCATAGATGGGTTAGCTGACAACGTCACGAAAAGCAATGTGCACGCTTTAATTGGGGCAGAAGTCTGTGAGTTGTTGTGATTGTAGATGGCCAAATGGCTAGCAACAATGACAAGAAACTGCCATGTGGGGAATAGTAAGTGGCTAATTTCAGCTAGTTTCATCTTGTTCTTGATACCATGTCTTGTTTTGAGGTGTTTGACTGATTTCATGCCAATGCTAATATGGCTACAATTCGCTAGCTAACCAAGAACTGTAACGATGTATTTGAGACAAGTTCTCATTGTGCAAATGTATTTGTTTTCAATAAACTTTGGAGACAAAATATAGATTACGTTGTCAACATTCTAAGCTAACCCTGTCTGTTTTGCCCCATAGTTGCTCAAGCGTCGGTTTTGTAGCTCAACAACCAACCCGTCTATAGTGTAATGGTGACCCTGTCAAAAGCCTTTTATGTGAATGCCTTCTTAGATCTCTTAACCTATTTTCTCTGTCAATATGAAAAAGACTGAAGCCATACAGAGCCACAAGGCTAATCTCTATCAATAGTCATAATTTTCTTCACGGTGTAGGGCAGCCCAAGGAAAAGTGTGCGTTTGTCTTGTCTACACTCTCATTTACAGTGTTTTCCAGGGAACGTAACCTTAATATGGCCTTAATGTAAGAGAGCAATTTTTCCCGTCTCATGTAGACCTGTCGAATCGAACAATTTATTTTCTGTCAGGTTTTCTCTTAAAAAATACCCATGAGTCTCAGTTGTTATGGGGTGTACATGTATTCAACACCACCACTCTGCCAGACATCTATGTGACTCATTCAGCATCAGCCCCCAAAACCCCCTTCTGTGAAAGGCCATATACCTCAAGGCTCGGAATTATGTCACATGATGATGTCATTTCCTGTTTCTAATGTATAACTAGAGGCCCACTAGGGCTGAATAAGTGGAATTATTCTTCAATGGGTCACCATTCAGCCCTCAAGGTTACAGTGTGCTCGTAACAGTGTGTGTGTGTGTGTGTAACAGTATTCCTGCCCTATACTGATGAGTTGAAGCGCAGAGCTTGATTCATACTCTGTGAGGTAATGCTGATGATGGCCTATCTCAGTGAGTTATTATTTAGGTCAGTGTTCCTCACTCCATCAAGAACACATGATTTGATTCATTAACTAAGACTTATAGTAGCTGAACTCTAGAGTGTTAGTGCTAGACTGACCTGTGAAGCGTCGCAGCAGCTTGGTGCAGGTCTCGGCCACCGTCTCGTCGTCGCAGCGCTCCATGAGCAGTGCCTCCTGACCACAGATCCAGCCGCTCAGCATGTAGCCGTAGCGCTCGGGTGGGTACAGCACGTCGAACGAGCAGATCTTACGGTACCACAGCTCCTCGGGGTAGACCGGCTGCTCCAGCTGCGCCTCGTCCTCCCACACAAACTGGATGCTGTTGCACTCTGGGCTCCAGAAGGGATCGGCGAACTCCAGGAAAATCTTGTCAGTGGTGCTGATGCCGAGCTTCTCGATGGCGAGGACTTTGTCCTCGGGCAGCGAGGGTGAGAAGAGCGCCTCATGGCGGTTCTTGAGGACGCCGAGCGAGGCGGTGACGATCACGTGGTCGGCGGGGAGCGACTCGAGGTCCTCGCACTCTACACTGATGGGGTACGCGTGACCCGGATTGGGGTTGGGCTCACCATGGCAACGTCGGTCGTCGTTATGGTCGCCGTCATCGTGCCGATTGTTGTTGTCGCCGTGTGCGATCTCCTCCTGTTGCTGGGCGGAGTAGTTCCAGTGGACGCGGCGGACGGGTTTCCCCAGACGTATCATGCGGGACGGAATGTCCTGCGCCAAGAGGTCCACGATCTTCATGAAGCCGCCCGGGATGACGTGGTGGGCCCCGGGGATCTCCGTCCACTCGCCGAACTCACTCAGCGAGACCTCGTCCATGCTGGGGGACGAGCTCTCACAACTCTCCACCTGGGGGACAACACACAAACAAACAAAGTCAGTTTGACTCAGATCAAATTGAGCCCCTTTATGAGCAAAAGTATCTTTATGAGCTGCTCTCACAACTCTCCACCTCTTTCGATCAATCAATCAATTAACTCATCAATCAATGAATCAGTCAAATGTATTTAAGCTCTTTTTAATAACCCAGCCTAGAAGCCCACAGAGCAAGCAGCAGAACAGTGGAAAAACTCTTCAGATGGAAGAAACCTAAAAAGGAACCAGACGCTGGCTGTACTATGTAGAAACACAGACAAACAAGTCTGTTCAGTTCTGGTCAAATGTATCTCCTCTATTTTGGTCTATCTACTTTGTTCAAGTAGATTTTTTTTTTCTGTTACTCTTAGATTGGCTAATACGCCTTATTGAATTGAGGCCAAATTAACCTCCTCTATCAAAGTGCTACTTAGTCCTAGTTGAATTACCTATTTATTGGCCATTACGTCTTATTCAACTTTCAGTGGTGTTATCGTTTTTTGGCTCAAGTCTATGAACCCAATAGTTTGTTTACCTAACTAGAGCGACATTACGGATGTCATCTGCATCTGTGTCTCTGTAGCCTCAACAATAGAGCCTAATGTTTCCCTGAGGAAAAGTCTTAATCATGGCCTTGGCTGCCACTAAAGGAAACTTTGGACATCAGGGGATGCATCCCAAGTGGCACATTATTCCCTAGATAGTGCATAGGGTTTTGGTCAATGGTAGTGCACTACATTGGTAATATGGTGCCATTTGGGATGTAGCCCTAATAATTGAGTGCCGGCGGACCAGGAAATGAATTGAATAAATATACAAACATAATAAGGCTTGTAATAGCTACATTTCCTGAGGTAAATTGTTGTTGTCGTCCTCATCTTCCTCTTCCCTGGATGCCCTGCTGTACCACAGTTGGCTCTACGCATAATAAAGGGCGTCCATTTTGTTGTCCGCTGTGTTTCTATTTCATTAACAAACTGACCTTGAAGTGATCAACACTAATTGGAATCCAATGAGTCATTGGGTATAATTACAAGGAGCAAGGATCACAGATGGAGCAATAACATTAACAAGCTAATGAAGCTATTGCTAACATAAACAAGCTAATGTAGCTATAGCTAACAGCAATGCTAACATTAGCATTTGGGATGTTAGTCAGAGTTTTACACCTGATTTCCTGACCTGCTTGTTCAGTTGAGTCATAAAGCATGCCGTAAACTCTTGTATTGTGTGAGACTTGTGTGAGAGTGCAAGTCTAAACATAGCAGGAGCATCACATGCGTTACTTCCGTCATTTATCTGCGTAAAAAGAACTGGTTTGAACCAGAACTGTGCGAGAGGCCATAGAGGTGCACCAATTCTCTCCAGAGATGAGTGAATCAGTATACAGCACTGTAGATTTAATATGGAAAAAAAGAAAGTAATGTCTTCCGTGACGATTTTTAAAACTGGTTTTCTTGGAACACATAGCGCAAACTTACATGGCACCCTATTTCCTTTATAGTGCACTACTTTTGACCATAGCGAATAGGGCTCTGGTCAAAAGTAGTGCACTATATAGGGAATAGGGTGCCATTTGGGACGCAGCCAGGGTTTGTCTGGGTGCCAGTCTGTTTCCATTCTGGTTCTACACTGGACAACCCAGAGTTTCATTGGTATAGACAGGCAGTATTAAGGATCTATGGTAGGCTACCACAAAGTAGCCGAAAGGCGTCCGCCTATTCAGTAGCCTTTACTTGTGTGTGGGCTTTCTGCCCATGTATGAGGGTGATGGGGGTAGGCTACCACAGAATGATATCTTTGGTTGATACAGCACCAAACCTATGTGGCATGAGTCATGTCATGTCATGCCTTGAAGCCAAAGGCATCCACCTATTCCGTAGCCTCACATGTGTGTGGGTGATGTGATTCTGCCAAGGTATGAGAGTGTTGTAACCACATAATTGTGTGCAATAACCTCTTAACCGCTAGGATACCTGCCGCCCTTTACACTTAGAAAAACAGTAGCTATCTAGAACCTAAAAGGGTTTTTCAGCTGTCCCCATAGGAGAACCCTTTGAAGAACCCTTTTTGGTTCCAGGTAGAACCCTTTTGGTTCCAGGTAGAACCCTTTTGGGTTCCATGTAAAACCCTTTCCACAGAGGAAAAGTGTTGTCCCTAAAACCAAAAAGGGTGCTCCTATGGGGACAGCTGAAGAACTCTTTTGGAACCCTTTTTTCTAAGAGTTTAGCCTAAACATCCTTATAAGCGCCAAGTGTGCTTGATAAATAGTGAAAAATCAGCAAAAAAGCAATAATGGCATCCCTAGAAGGAAACCATTATTTGCTCTAGCTTATTGGATTTGCATAATGTTTGCGTAGACTTATCACTGCATTCCAACCATAAACTAGAGCTCTAGTATATTTTATAGCCTCTCAGAAGGACCCCCCCCCCCCTCACACACACACACACACACACACACACCTTGAGGTACTGCTGAAGCATGGACAGCTTGAGTCTCTTGGTGCTCTCCGAGTCGTCGGGGTCCAGCGTGATCTTTTTGCGCACCACGTCCCTCGTGAACACCCCAACGCTGTTCTGGCTTTCAGCACACACAGGCTTCCCATTCTGGAAAAACTCCTGAGTCAGCTCGTACACCTGGGGGGGCAGGGGTAGGGGGGATTGGCAAGACGGGAGAGAAATTTGAGTTTTACGGCTATGGTATAAGCAGTAATGAATGTGCAGAGGGTTTGCATCCCAAATGGCACCCTATTCCCTTTATAGTGCACTACATTTGACCATGGCGAATAGGGCTCTGGTCAAAAGTAGTGCACTATATAGGGAATAGGGTGCCATTTGGGATGCAACCAGGGTTTGTCTGGGTGCAAGTCTGTTTCCATTCTGGTTCTACACTGGACAACCCAGAATTTCATTGGTATAGACAGGCAGTATTTTGCTAGTACCTTGTCCAACAGCCAAGCGATCTAAAATAGCATAGAGTGTACCTGCTACTGTGGCTATAACGGTGTCTGAACATTCGGAATCTACTGGGGTGCTTCTAAAACTTTAAAGGGGCAATCTGTGAGGTGATCGCTTTGTTGTTGTTGTTTGAATCACAAATGTGCCCTTTAAAAGGGCGCAGCCAGGTGAGAATTTATGACATCCTTTAACACCTTGGCATGGCTGCATGGGAGGGTGGAACTTAGTACATTATTCAACAACGGATCGTTTTTAATATTTCAACACTTTCTTCCGAGGTCCGTGACGTCTACAGTACAGGATACATAGCGACATGCATGACAGAGCTTTTTTATCCAAAGCACACACCTCTTTTAGAAGGAACTGCCCACTCATTGTACAATAGGGGGAGTATCATTGTGTAGGTGGTCATACAGTGAAGCGGGTAGCACTATTTCCATGGAATTTACTAGGAAATTATGTTGTTTTAATTAATACTTTTTGGTACTTAGTTCCAATAATTCAACACAATTGGTTATGACCTGGTACCAAATGGTGCCTGTTTTAAAAACAAACAAGTAATTCAAAGATTATTACTGTGCACCATTTCACATGTAATGTCTCAGTAAATACCTGGGATGATGCCAAATGGCACCCTATTCCATATTTAGTGCACTACTTTACATAGTGCTCTGGTCAAAAGTAGTGCAGTATAGGGAATATGGTGCCATTTGGGACGCAGCCCTAGCCTTTTCTGTGCCGTAAAATAAATGCAACCGTGAAGGTGTCTTATTTAATGAAGTGAAACGGTGAGCTGAACAAAGAGGCAGGAGGGAATTGGAGCCGAGCCGTCAGTCAGTCACGAGACTGGTGATCACCCGGGGGCCACTCCTAGGGAGTGCCGGGTTACAACAGGTAGACACCACTGGCACTGGGAAATAAGATCTATGGTAGGCTACCACAAAGTAGCCAAAAGGCGTCCACCTATTCAGTAGCCTTTACTTGTGTGTGGATTTTCTGCCCACGTATGAGGTTGATGGGGGTAGACTACCACAGAATGATATCTTTGGATGATACAGCACCAAACCTATGTGGCATGAGCAATGTCATGCCTTGCCTTGAAGCCAAAGGCATCCACCTATTCCGTAGCCTCACATGTGTGTAGGTGATGTGATTCTGCCAAGGTATGAGAGTGTTGTAACCACATAATTGTGTGCAATAATAATAATAATAATAATAATAATAATAATAAGGTGTTTATATAGCGCTTTTCAAGGACCCAAAGTCACGGTCGATACAGTATAAAGACATATGTGTCATGTAGGGATGTGAACATTTAAACGTTAAAAGTTTAAACAAAATTGGGATCCATAACGTAAACTATGAAACAGAAATCATGTGTTGGAAACGCGGTAACAGCTTATTTTTATAACGACAAAAATAATAATAATACCCCAACCACCAAGACGCATGGTCAGCAAGACCAAATGAAAACATGTCATTTTAGTCATTTAGCAGACACTCTTATCCAGAGCAATTAGGGTTACGTTTCTTGCTCAAGGGCACATCGACAGATTTTTCACCTAGTCAGCTCAGGGATTCCAACCAGCAACCTCTCAGTTACTGGCCCAACCTATTAACCGCTAGGCTACCTGCCGCCCTTTACACTTAGAAAAATTGTGGCTATCTAGAACCTAAAAGGGTTTTTCAGCTGTCCCCATAGGAGAACCCTTTGAAGAACCCTTTTTGGTTCCAGGTAGAACCCTTTTGGTTCCAGGTAGAACCTTTTTGGGTTCCATGTAAAACCCTTTCCACAGAGGAAAAGTGTTGTCCCTAGAACCAAAAAGGGTGCTCCTATGGGGACAGCTGAAGAACTCTTTTGGAACCCTTTTTTCTAAGAGTTTAGCCTAAACATCCTTATAAGCGCCAAGTGTGCTTGATAAATAGTGAAAATCAGCAATAAAGCAATAATGGCATTATAATTAATATAAGTGTCGATATGACAGCAGTAAAAAATAGTCAATTATTGTCAGGTCGTGCTTACATGGTGTGTGTCTTCACGCAATGGCATCAGTTGGAGCATGTCCATGTCACAAACAATGAAAGCTGGTGAGTGCGTTACTGATGTTTTTTGCTTGAGGGCCTGCTCTCTCAGTGATGACATTTTGTGATGATAACCGTCCCGTAGCATTGTCACTGGCTTGTTCTATCCAAACGGCGCCGTCCCTTCCTCTCTTCTGTCTCACCATTTGATTTGGTGGTGGCTCGGGCACCTGCTCAGTGCGCACCGTTCGGGCTTTTTTGCGCTTAGGCCTGACATGCCCTCCTAACACTGGTTATAGCTCCAGTTATGTTTGTGATATTAAGATTCTAACAACAGCAGTGTGGTATATAGACTTATTTAGGAAAAGTTAAGGATGGAGGGGGGCATGAGTAATAAAAATGGTTTTATTCATGAGCAGTCCAAATGACTGCTTTAGCTGTCCCAGAGTGAAGTTCACATTCTTTTCCCATGGAATCAGAATGGTTATGTTTATCATTGCTGCACTGAGTTACAGTGTAGCCACAAAGGTCGTGATAATATGACATGCTTTCAATTCCATAACCTTATCATCTTGTCTTCCCTACCTGATGGAACATTTTGCATACAAAGACCAGCCTTGTGTTCATTAGGCACCAAATGGAAGAAAACAGACTGAAACAGGGAGGGACTACCCGAAAAGCGAATTTTCAAATTCCTTTGCAAAACTTGAAAACGTTTTCCGTTGCGTGCCCTAATGAACCCGACCCAGGATGCAGCACACCTTTGTTGATCATATAAAATAGCCTCCGGTTGAAATGTGATCATCAAGAAACACATTTTCAAAGACAAATAATTGTAAAGCTATTTCTTGTCCATTGCCTCACACTCATGAAACACTAGATCTAAACAGACAGGATTTCTATGTACCTCAAATCCTGATGTGAAACAAAACAACAAGTCAACCTCATTATGCTAATCCTACTGCTTAGTTAATTATGCTGATTTCCAGGCAGAGGTACGGTGGGGATTAGCGCAATTGTAATGATACATGGTGGGGATAAGCGTTTAGCGCTGCTGTAATGATGCACGGTGGGGGTTAGCCTAACGCATAGCGTAGCTCTGCTGTGTTGATGCTGCTGCTACACTGCAAAGTGATTGGCATCTTGGAAATTGCTCATACAAGGGAATACAGCATAGAGGTACACAGACTGACACACATGCAATCAGGATAGAAGCATTGTTCACACTGTATGTTGCAGCTCCCTAATTATTACCGAAGATGGTTTAGTATGAAGATATGTAGAAACTGCTTCTCCAATAGAAATCCTCAATCACGCTTCTAGGCGATGTCATGGAGACATTGGCTAGCTAAGCTCATGCGCAGAAACACGTTATCGGGTATAACGGTCATCTCATGCCGAACTGTGCATGTGCAGGCCGTCAAATCAAAGGCACTCCTTAGACATGAAGTGATTTTTGACGAAAATGAAAACGTGTCAGTTTGTCACTTTCACCATGTTGGAGTAATAACATGTACATTTTCTTGAAATCTAAAAGCACAACCTAGATTCGAGCCAATAAGTAACTGAACAACTATAGGGAAGTGTGTAGAAAGCGTCCCCCTTTCCTCTGCACCGTGTCTAATTACACTGATCTGAATGGTAGTGGGGGGAAGCTAATGTTGCGTGAATAACACAACGCTCTGAGGTAGCTAAACAGGGCATGACACGCTTCACTGTACCACAGTAAACAGATTGTGTGTGTGTGTGTGTGTGTGTGTGTGTGTGTGTGTGTGTGTGTGTGTGTGTGTGTGTGTGTGTGTGTGTGCATAAGTTTCCCCGCACACCTGTACTATACACACCTGTGCAAACACTATCAGTCAAAAGTTTGGACACACCTACTAATTGAAGGTTTTTTCTTTATTTTTACTACGATTTACATTGTAGAATAATAGTGAAGACATCAAAACTATGAAATAACACATATGGAATCATGTAGTAACCAAAAAAGTGTTAAACAAATCAAAATATATTTTATATTTGATATTCTTCAAATAGCCACCCTTTGCCTTGGTGACAGCTTTGCACACTCTTGGCATTCTCTCAACCAGCTTCATGAGGAAGTCACCTGGAATGCATTTCAATTAACAGGTGTGCCTTCTTAAAAAGTTAATGCGTTTGAGCCAATAAGTTGTGTTGTGATAAGGTAGGGGGGGGTATACAGAAGATAGCCCTATTTGGTAAAATACCAAGTCCATATTATGGCAAGAACAGCTCAAATGAGCAAAAAGAAACGGCAGTCCATCATTACTTTAAGACATGAAGGTCAGTCAATACGGAAAATGTCAAGAACTTTGAAAGTTTCTTCTAGTGCAGTCGCAAAAACCACCAAGCGCTATGTTGAAACTGACTCTCATGAGGACCGCCACAGGAATGGAAGACCCAGAGTTACCTCTGATGCAGAGGATAAGTTCATTCGAGTTACCAGCCTCAGAAATTGCAGCCCAAATAAATGCTTCACAGAGTTCAAGTCACAGACACATCTCAACATCAACTGTTCAGAGGGAACTGTGTGAATCAGTCCTTCACAATCGAATTGCTGCAAAGAATCCACTACTAAAGGACACCAATAAGAAGAAGAGACCTGCTTGGGCCAAGAAACATGAGCAATGGACATTAGACCGGCGGAAATTTGTCCTTTGGTCTGGAGTCCAAATTGGAGATTTTTGTTTCTAACCGCCTTGTCTTTGTGAGACGCGGCGTGGGTGAACGGATGATCTCCGCATGTGTAGTTCCCACCGTAAAGCATGGAGGAGCAGGTGTTATGGTGTGGGGGTGCTTTGCTGGTGACACTGTGTGATTTATTTAGAATTCAAGGCACACTCAACCAGCATGGCTACCACAGCATTCTGCAGCGATACGCCATCCCATCTGGTTTGGGCTTAGTGGGACCATCATTTGTTTTCAACAGGACAATGACCCAACACACCTCCAAGAAGGAGAGTGATGGAGTGCTGCATCAGATGACCTGGCCTCCACAATCCCCCGACCTCAACCCAATTGAGATGGTTTGGGATGAGTCGGACGGCAGAGTGATGGAAAACAAGTGCTCAGCATATGTGGGAACTCCTTCAAGACTGTTGGAAAAGCATTGCAGGTGAAGCTGGTTGAGAGAATGCCAACAGTGTGCAAATATGTCATCAAGGCAAAGGGTGGCTATTTGAAGAATCTCAAATATAAAATATATTTTGATTTTTTTAACACTTTTTTGGTTACTACATGATTCCATATGTGTTATTTCATAATTTTGATGTCTTCACTTTTATTCTACAATGTAGAAAATAGTAAAAATAAAGAAAAACTCTTGAATGAGTAAGTGCGTCCAAACTTTTGACTGGTACTGTATGTGCCACTGTGTACGTACAGTATCTACATTCAGTCATGGGTGGCTCCCTTCATGTGCACATATCAGTGGTAATCTGGACACACACATCACACCTCCCATACACCTCTCTCCCCTCACCTCATTGTAGAGGTCACTGAACTCCTCGACCAGGTCCTTGGGGATCCTGGTACCGCTGTTGGTCTGGTAGTGGGCCACACCGTTCTTGGTGTACAGGCTGATGCGGCCCACGCTGCGCTCGCCGTCCGTGGTGTGCTCCAGCAGCCCGTTGTCATCCGCCAGGTGGTACACCGGGTTCCCGTTTGCGCCATGGATCCAGGTGGCTCCGAGCTCCAAAGTTGTTTGTCCTGGAATAAATGGAGAAGAATGTAGTCCTCTCTGTAGCGCAGTTGGTAGAGCATGGCGCTTGCAATGCTAGGATAGTGGGTTCGATTCCCGGGACCATACATACAAAGTGTATGCTTCATATAAAAGCATCTGCTAAATGGCATATAAATATATAATAGACTTAGTTTCTGTCCCAATACCCAAACTTGTGCACTCTGTAGTATTAAGTAATGTATTGGCCATGCAAGTAGTGTGCTAGTGTGGCTATTGGGACAGGCCTAGGTTCTGGTCAAAAGTAGTAGGAAATAACGTGCCATGTCAGATGCACCTTTGGGGTTACACTTACACAAACTTTGTTTACTCCCCCCAAGAACTTGATTATTTGGGAGTAAGTTGAATGGAATGGAACTTGAATTCAATGAAATAAGCAGAGAAATTAGAACAGGAAGTTGTTTTAATTTAATGGAAGTGAAAGGAACTGCAGTTAGAGGGAGTCAATTCAATGAATGTGACTCTGCAGCCTACTGGACATCTTGAGGATGCTACAACCACCTACTGGAGAGATACTTCTTATTGAAATGGCTTCGTTGAGAATAGGGATGAATCTCTTCTTTTTTTAAATATTGAATTGAAGCCATGTGTGGCAATGGGAGTAATCTTCTAACTTGTTCAGCTCAAAGGGGATTTCGCAGGACTAACCACACATCCATCCGAGAGATAGAGACAAATTCCCCAATCACGTTTCACATTTTGAATTGGGAAAGCTTTATTGGGCTTTCCAAAGCACACAGTCTGATCCAGTGTTATTTTGGGAAGGCTTTTAGCATTAGCGCTGATAGCGTAGCCCCATAGAGAATAGACGGTGGCACTTTTTGACAGCTAGATGTGAGTGCGAGGGGAAACAACCTGATGATTACACACTCACACAGACATGTCGAATGTCTCAGTGAGTGAGGTTTGGAGCTTTCAGCTTACAGAAAATGTAAACAAGGATTTGGGAACTATTTAAGAAACAAACACCCATCGGTTACAAGAGTCATAACCCATTAAATTCCAGGGTCTGGTTTAGAGTAATTTCCTCCATGTATTGTTTCTCACTCACCCTTTGTTTGTACTGTATAAGGTTCATAGCATCATTTCTTACCGTGCTGAATACTTTGAACTCTCCCTCCGATGCGGTCTGACGCCTCTAGGACTGTGACATCGGTGAAGCCGCTTTCCAGGAGGCTCTTGGTAGCTGCGAGACCGGCCAAGCCCGCGCCGATCACTACTATTCGAGGCTGTCGACGAGTGCGTAGGTCTCTACTAAGGGGGTCATCAGTGCTGTCTGAAGATATTTCACAACTTTGCATGCCGTCCAAGCTCCTCTTCTAGGGGGTCTGAGGGAGAAACAGAGAAGCCATTAGTTAAAAACAATGCGAGCCTTTGGTGGTCTAGCTGTCTAAAGCGCTGACTTTGGAACGCGTACCGCTGCCAGCATGGGTTCGAATCTGACTCATTGCGCTCTCATTCTTCCTTTCTCACTATCCTGTCCAATAAACATCAAATGAATGGGACTGCACACAAAAAACAAAGCAAGTCAGTTTCCCTCAGGCAAGATGAGGACTGAAAGTATCTTTTCACACAGGGGGAGATACAGTAGCATCATTGCGTATCAGTGGATACTCCATTGAGTGTTTTCAGTTCAAAGTAAAGGCCTCCGTACAAACACAATACAGTACACAAACCCTCTTTCAGATCAAATACCCGTTATGACATCAATCCATTCTGGAAATAGAATTTCATCACGCTTTCCTAAGTATGCATACTTTGAGTGTGAAAGGGGAACAGGTTCATCACGTTATTAAAACAGTCACTATTTCAAAAATGTATTTGTGGCCTAGTGTGGTCTGGCTGTCTAAGCCACTGTCTCTGAAAAACATACCTATCCTAGACCTTTCTATCTATCCTAGACCTTATTTAAACACCTTACCGTTGCATGGCTAACATGTAGCTGTGCTATGTAGTGGGGGCTTATTATATTAACGTATAGACAACTGTGTCTGAGGAAACAAATGCAAAAGGGAGCATATTTAAAGCACATCTCGCTGATCACATTATACTAATCTAGTATCGTCTCAAAACGAAACGCTGAGCAACACCAAATGAACGAGGCCCATGCGAGTCCTTAATTGACTGTTTGGGGGCGACCAGGCATCGCGGGGTTGAAATGTTGAGGTGAAATGAAACAAAATGTGTTTCCTTTTCTCACGGACTTCCTTCCACCTCTCTCATTGAAGTAGTGTTTGTATATGCAAGTGGGCTGAAGTGCTGTACCAAGGCACCTTGCCAAATGGAAAATAAGCACATTTGACAGAAAGCAGGCAGCGGAAGAAAGGACACAGGAGGAGAAGAGAGAGAAAGAGAGGAAGGGGGAGATGGTAAGAGTCTGATGGAAAGAAAAAAGGGGAAAAGCAAGACAAAGAGAAAAAGTGAGGAAGAGGAAGAGGGGATGGAGGGATCAAGGAGGGAAATGCATTATGAAGCAGACTAAACAGAGCAGTACCGTGTTCCATTTTCCTCATCTTTCCATCCCTGAGTGCACCCCCTACCCCCTCCTCTGAGAGGTAAGACCATATGCTACCTCCAGTTCTTAGATGTGACGCACTCCCCTCTCCCCCACAAAACATCCCCGCTCTGTCACCATGGCAACGCTGCTGCACATGGCAATGCTGCGGTTCCATACTGAGAAACGTCTCGCACACACAAGAAAAAGGTGGTTTCTCCCGGACCAGGGTCAAATGGTCAAACCGGTTCAGTGAATCCATTACCCCATCTATTTAGAACTACAGCTGCGTCTGGAGCATGCTGCTCATCTGAGCTCCCCAAAGGTTAGCTGTTTCAAATGACACCATATTGGTACAAAAAGTACAAGAGGACGCAGCCTAAAACAACAAACCAATTTGAGTACACTTACTACCACCCAGACCAAAATGTGGATTATAAACTGGGTGGTTTCAGCCCTGAATGCTGATTGGCTGAAAGCCTTGGTATATCAAACAGTATATAACGGGTATGACAAAAACATTTTTTTATTGCTTTAATTACGTTCGTAACCAGTTTATAATAGCAATAAGGCACCTCTGGTGTTTGTGGTCCAATATACCACAGCTAAGGGCTGTATCCAGGCACTCCGCGTTGCCATGGTATAATGGCCATATACCACACCCCCTCGGGCCTTATTGCTTAATTATATCACATGCTGTGTAGAGACTATGGGAACATACTGTCTCTTCACACTATGTGCCGTGGGCAAGACGTCTCTTCGAAACCGGTTTCAAACTAGCTGTGTGTAATAAGGCTTGAATACAGTACACAGTGGCTGTGTTTACACAAGCAGCCCAATTCTGATCTTTTTTTCACTAATTGGTCTTTTGACTTATCAGATCAGCTCTGAAAAAGATCTGATGTAAAAAGATCAGATGTGATTGGTCAAAAGACCAATTAGTGGAAAAAAATATCAGAATTGGGCTGCCTATGTAAACGCAGCCGAAATATCTCAGGAAAGTTAGACACCAACATTTCAGGCACCAACTGCAGTGTGGATCATATTCAAAATGCTGTACAGACTATGGGAACTAACATAGTTCACAGTATGTCGCAGAAAGGTTAGATACATTTCAAACACAAGCTGCAGTGATTGCAACACTAGAAGTTCAGAACCTTCTTCCCAGCTGTGTTCACCTTTAACCTCACAGCTGTCTGCATCACAAGACTGAGAGTGTTGAGTAGTGAGAAATTATAATAGTAGCGGCTGAGAAGGAAGCAAAACATGTCTGGACAAGTCCTAGCTGGCTAGACCTTTCAATGAGTCTGTGTGCATCCCAAATGGCACTGTATTACCTTTATAGTGCACTACATAGGGAATAGGGTTCCATTTTGGATGTATCCACTTTCTGCATCTGTTTCGTAGCCCTTTTCAAAGGTCAAAAGTAGTGTAATATATAGGGAATAGGGTGTCATTTGGGATGTATTCTCTGTCTGCATCTATTTCTTCACATTCATTTGTCGGTGATGCCTTTACTGGACTCAATAAACTCTATCAACAAAGTTGTGGTATTTGTCACAGCTGACGAAGGCAGTTAACCTCCAACAACAACTGCTCCCCTGGGTGCTGTGGATGTTGATTAAGGCATCCCCCCGCACCTCTCTGATTCAGAGTGGTTAAATACAGAAGACACATTTCGGTTGAATGCATTCAGTGTGCAACTGACTAGGTATCCCCTTTACCAGAGGCTAGAAGGGCCTGTGACTATGTAATAAATGGGACACAGAGGGTCCCAAATAGCACCCAATTAGTGCACTAGTTAGGGCCCTGGTCAAAAGTAGTGCACTATATTGGGAATAGTGTGCCATTTGGGAAAAACTGTTAGTGGGCCCCAGATTCCTTCAGTGATTCTGAAGGAAGATTGCCTTTCTTTCTGATTGAAATAACAGAAAAGCCTGCTCATGATATATGCTTCTCCAAAGCTTTATTCCTACATCCACATTTACATGTGAAGCGATTTGTATGCAAGCACTACTATAAATCACTGGGTAAAATGGCATAACACGCACTCAGCCTTACTTTCTGAATCACATGAGAGTAAAAAGGTATTGAACGTCCCAGAACTGTGCATTTACAGTGTTGCATATACAGTAACGCTGCCTACTGTAGTACTATTATAGTAATACTATGGTTTTACTACAGAACAGTTGTAAGATTTGCAGAGAGAGGATCACAGAATGGGGTTGGTGTTTCCCAGGTCACATACACTCTCTGTCACACACACGCGTGCATGTACACACACACACACACACACACACACACACACATATATCTCTCTCCCTCCTTGGACCTAGACTTAGAGCCGCTGTGATTCCATTATCGCTGGCTGGTTAACGCACTCACCACGTCACCACTCCTCTCACACCCATCATGCCGCAGCATGCAGATTAAGGTTGGGCTGGACCCGGGGTGGGGAACTCTACAACGTGTAACCTAGAAACGAGCAACCTAGCCTACATTTGACTGACGTCGCTCGAGGTCGCTCTTTCCAGGGGCAGGCCAGGGCATAAAAGGGACTGTAAGGTTAAAAAGAAGTCAGCATGTCATTTGTTGAGTTGTAAGGCAACCCCCACCCTTTTCCTTCCCAAATAACGGCCTTCCTAAAGCATACACACTCCCTTCCTCCATCCATCTCCTCCCCGTCTGCACTTCAGTCCACTCCACAGCTGCTTTCATGCCATATCCGACAACCTGGCCTGGATCAAACCCCTAGTATGCACTACAGTGCTCGCTAGCGTGGCAACATGACGTCTCACTTCCTCAAGACCTCAGACATCAAAAAGGACAAGAGCGCTCTAGCCTTGGGGGCCCGGGCCCCGTGCCAGACAGGCCTCAGAAATTCCACACCTCTCACCCAGCTCCGGTGTTCCAGAGCTGGGATAGTAGGGCTAGGGGACGGCCCCTGGCTGGCAGTGCTATAGCTGATGCTTGGGTGTCATCCATCCTGGAGCTGTATAAACAGGAGTGCGGTGCCCCTAGGACTAGAGTGGTAATGCCAAAGGTAAGCAGAAGTTAAAAGGGTACTACCCACCAGGAGAACAGGTTACAATGGGCTCCTTCACAGCGGTATTCATTAGTGCAGACCATACCAAAACGTTTTGCAACCGAAAAAAAATTTTTTGTGTGTTTCTTATTGGACAAATTCAGATTAGTCCCTCCCTATTTCAGTCTGTTTTCTTACGTTTGGTGCCTAGTGAATAAGACCCAGGTTGCAATAAACTCATTCACAAGCAAAAAGGGCAGGGACAGGAAGGGAGATTATCAAATCAGGTGGTGCACAATGGACAGTAGTGCCTTTTGAAAAGGTTGAAAACAAAGAGCGATGATTCAGAATGGCGAAGATATGTGGATACCCCTGACAGCATTGAGTCCAGACAGATCATATTCTTTACCTTACGTAACGATAAGCATTGACTTATTTCCTAGAACAAGGGTACTACACCTTCAGGCAATGTGCATATGCTGGTAATTATTAATGCATAAACTAGAGGAATTTCGCAAGAACAGCTGTAATGATTTTTTTCTTATTCATTGGGTTACAGATAAGGGGCTGGGATGTAATCAAATTACATTAACATTGTAAAACAAGTCAATTGAATTCAATTATATGCCGTTCCATTCATATTCTATTCTATTCATAATAATTAAGAGAGGGATAAATAATACAGGCAACAGAGACAGAAAGAGAGACTAAATGTAATTGAAGTTATCTCAAGTTTCTTTTGCTGACCACAGAGA